AATACTAACTTATCTTATGGATCAATTAATAAGCAGGAACATACTAAAGGAACCGTTTTTCTTTCAAAGTAACCTTTCAAATACTCTACCTCAAAAATTTTTTATTTGACAACAAATCTTTTTTCACTGTATAATAACAATACGCGCGAAAATATTCCTTCTTGCCACCCTCCATCCCTTCATGAAATTATAGTTCTTTTAGATACGTTAAGGTATATTACTTTGTCGATATTATTATATTTTTTGTTAGTATTTATTTACTTCTTGGATTTCCCAAGCGTCATTTATTTCATTTTTTTTTTTTTTTTTTAGGAAATAATAATAAAATCATTTGAAAAAGTTTTGTCGTGGATCTTAATTATTTCAATGTTTCAAGGAGTTCCAACGGAAATTTTGAAGTAAACAACCACGTGAATTAATCATTTAAATAGTAGATAAATCACGAAGTGAACAATTGGTCATAATAAATATTATGACTCTGGATTATTAATTTCAATGATTTCAATTATTTGAAACGAAACGATCATGATGGGATATTTGTTTCAAAAGGAGCATCAATTATTTGAAAATATTGATGCGTTAAACAAAAAATAGGATGTTACCGCACAATTAAAATAAATAATATTGGAATGAGTATATGATCTAATTTCAAGAAAAATTAATTTGCCTTCCGTAATTTGTCAACACAAGTGTTGGAATAAAATTTACTTAATACCTTCACGTGATGATGTAACTAATAATTTCGGAAGTTGAAAATTTTAATTATTAAAAAATTCTTTTTTTAAATTTCTTTAGATTTTTTTTTTTTTTTTTTGTAAAAAATCTCTTTTAAAACGTAGTGTCTATATTTACAATCTCGGTGTATATTTACACTTTATTGATTTTGATCGAAAAGATAAAGTTGTCTTCAAAGTTACCATTGATGATATTTTCAAGGTTCCTGGTGATTTAAAAGCTGTATACGTTATGGTAAAAATCAGCATAAAAAATGCGATAAAAAAAAACGGAACGGTTGGGAAAAACTTTAATTTCGTCAGGAATACTAATATTGAACTACTCGCAGTCTCGATATACCGTTTGTGGCTTTATTAACTTTACTCTTAACCCGTAATAAAATCATAAATCGATGAAGAATTTCTTCTTTTTTCTTAAAATCTTTAAAATTAACTCTGGCCCGGCACTAAATTTGGACAGAATCTTAATTCTAGCCGAAATTGATATGTATTAATTTCGGCCGGTGTTAAATTAACCTAAAAAAAAATCTTAGTTTACGAATATTTGCTCATTGTTCTAGTTTCATTTTTTTTTTAAAGTTCGCTATTGCCGAGTTTGAAAGCATATTTTCCTTTTCACAATATATGAATTTGGATAATTCTCATTTTGAGGTCAAGAACGAGTCGGAATTGGAGTGTAATTTGCGACCATCTGTTGAAAAAGACCTTAAGGATAACAAATATGTTTGTTGAAAAAGAGCGTGCCAATTTAAACTTTGATGATTATTGAAACAATTTAATGTGATGGGTTTTACTTATCGAATGATGTGTTCTTTCATGACGATGAAACCCTTTGCTCATACGAAGTAGTTCTTTGACACCCATATACACAATTCGTCTATTGTAAATTCATATAGTGACTAAATATGGTTGTATTTCTACTAGCACAACTGGCATTGGAAAGTCATAATTTGACTTATTTTCTTTTAATTTGCATACGTCACCAACATCCCAATGCTACAATAGCAGAATTAATAGATTCTGATGACCACTTAGCTGACTCTAAACAAAGATATCAACATGTTTTGAAAATTATTTGCAAAAACAAAAGAACTTTTTATTTTGTATGCACTAAGGTTGCCGGGCAAAACCCCGAGGTTCGACAGGCATCGAAATCGAAACCCATCGAAACGTTTTGCCAAATTTTTTTATTAAAGGCAAAATTGCGAAGTTTCGACGGGGGAAAATATTTCGACGATTGCAATATTAAAAATATAATTTTTTAATTTTAAAAATTTATTTTGATTTTACGAGTTGGGTTTAATTAGAAATGTGTTCTATAATAATTCTATCGGTGTTAACGGATCATCCTGTCAGGAGTGGTCAATTCACCAAAAGGATTTTAGCGATTTCTTCTCTTCGTCGTGTATAATATTAGTCAAATCATTCAAATTTTTTGACGGAATCCACCAATAGGAAGATGAAGAATCGATTTTGGTGTTACCATGAAATATATAACCAAAATTTCAATTCGTGAATGAATTCTTCGAATTCTCTCAATATCATCAATATAAAGTTTTTTGGACCATATTAAAATTTGTTTAACAAATGACAGAGTCATAACTATACTATACGTATAAAGTATTTTCGTAAGTATGCCTACGAAGCATAGTTTCTATTAAATGATATTCCTCTTGATGAAAAACCATATTCATCTAATCCATCATTTATGGGTGAACGGTTAATAAAATTACTCGCTTTCTCATTTGTATAGTAAATCTTTTCTAAAATATCCATTCTACCTATTCAAACTTCTCTCGTCTTATCACTTGATGTCCAACAAAAAATTCTCAATATCACCATATTTCTTTTGACATTCTCTATAAAATAATGATATGGCTCTTTGCAATAGAAAGGGAGGAAACTACCAAAAAAATTTTTTTTGAGTTAATGTTAAATCTGAACTTATTTTATTAAAAAAAATAATATTTAGCTTATAAAGCAAAAAAAAAAAAATTTTTTGGTAGTTTCCTCCCTTTCTATTGCAAAGAGCCCAATATGTCTTCACTAAGTTGATATTGGTTCCCGACAAATGAACCAGGAATTGGGTAAATACTTAAAATAATAATATGTTACATATGTGAGAATTTTTAATCTTTAAGGAATATTTTTAATTTTATTCTCGGAGCAATCATCCAATATAATGATCTATGCATTAGTTTATGTGAGATAGTATATATTCACGTCTTTTTTAAGAATTCACAAAGTTGTTATCGAAATCGTCGAAACTTTTGAGACCCATCGAAACCCATTGAAACTGTCGAAGCAATTTCTGAAAAGTTTCGACTTTTGCCAAAGTGGGTTTAGGGTTTTACCCCGCAACTATAGTATGCACAGAAACCAATACACAATATCAGCCTATACCATTATCACCAATCGATAAGAACGTTGCCAGTAAATCAAAATCATGAGATATATTAAATCATATGACCTGTAATGTGATTTGACTGGCAACGCTCCCAATATCGTAAGATTCAAGAATGGAAAAGGTCACTAAATATACATCTACTCTGGATGTTCAATGAATTAATATACTTTGGACTATTCTGTACAAGAAAATGATGAGTGGGAAATTAAGTTCACATCCGAAAATTTGATACCATATTGAAGAGAGTACTTCAAAATTGGGATAACTAGACATACTGTATTTTGAAAAAAAAAGTATAAAAAATTGATAGGCGATACCAATTTGGCAAGGAAGGTTTTGCTGATGACACATAACTTGTGAATCAAACTTTATACTATCAAATAAAATTTTGTCATTTATTAAGGTGAGTTAAGATAGCTTCGGTTTGGAATTCTGATGCAGAAACTTGCCCGCCCATCAACGGATACGAAAGAGTGGTAATTTTAGAACAAAATTACCGATAAAAGAAATACATCGGTGGAAGACTCTGCAACAACTATAATGTAGAGAACAAATGTCCAAATAGTGGAGAATTAGGTAGCTATTGATTCTTTAGTTCTGATGTATATATCCTAACTTTGTATCAAGCTACTGTCTCAATGAATCTTAACTGACAAGTTGCCATAACTTTGGCTTAATTTGATTTTATCTTCTATTGCTTGCATACTAACTTGTAGGCTTCTTTCGTAGTTTCGTAGTTTAAAGTATTCGAGCATATCCAAAAAATTTTAAAGTAGGAAAAATATATTGATTTATATTTCGTGGATATCTTTTCTGGATTTCCTCCGCAGAAATATAAATGAGCATTATAAAATTGAGAAACATCAGAAATCAACATGAATCATAGAAAATACCAATTGATGTGTGTGATGAAGAGAGTAACGAGAAGATAGCGATAATGATGAGATAGTAGATTGCCGGATGTTTATAAGAGAAGGTAGAAGAAAACAAAGAAAGCATGGTAAAGAAATCAGTAATTTTTATTGTGATCGTCGTTTTATATTAGGTTTAACATTTGCAATTATATGACATTTTATACATTCAACAACAGTTCGAATCATAAAATTCTTATCATAAAATCTAACCAAGGAGTAAAATTACAAATGCATTTCAATAATAATACATCCCGAACAATTAATTAATCATCTTTGGTTAAGTAAAGATTCTGATAATTGGGAAAGTATGTGATTAAAAAGGGTTCCTCCCAAAATTTTTTGTATATGGTTATTTTATTAAAAATTCTTGCGAGAATCTCGTCAAGCATATTCAAACGTTGCTATCAATAATTTTAATATATCCTTTAACTAAAGAACTCTTTTAATTTAATTTTAATATATATATATATGTATTAAGCTGATTTATTCCCTTTCGAAAATAGTTTTTTTTTAATTTTACCTTAGAATAATTTCATTTATGGAAAGTGCAAATATTTGGTTTCTTTTGGAATAAAATTCTGAATAAAAATGATCGGAACCACCACAAAGTATATAATAGTATGAGCGTAATATTCTTTTACATCCAGACATAAATAATTATTATTGGCATTGCTTTACAATCAATTGAAAAAGTAGGTTTGACATTTATTATTAGATAAATGAATTTTTTCGACAATAAAAAAATGTTTATACCTTTACAAATAGTTAAAATGAATCAAAATAAAATAACATTGAATTAATTATTAAATAAAGTTTCCAAATTTCACGCCTACAAAACAGTTAAAGTTTCGTTACAAGATCACCAATAATAAAATGAAATTATCAAGGAGACATTATTATTTAATAGTGTACATTTTTACATAGAAGATATAGACTCACAATTATTTACCAACCAGCGAAATTCGCATTGAATGAAAAATTAAAATTCAAAAGTGGTCAGAAATAAAAGACTGGGATTTATTTCAAGTTGATGAAACATTGAAAAATCTTTGTCCGATCAAGAAAATTAAATAAACACAAATATCTTATTACGGTTGAATTTTCTGTTTCATTTATGTAGTTCACGCTAGATAAAGACAGTAATAATAAATAAGAATAATTTATGTCGTCAGAATTGGACGATAAAATATCCATCATAGTTTTAAATAATGAAATCTTACTTTTTAAAGTGAAAATCTAAACTATTTTTTAATAGCTTGATACACTTCATAATCATCTGCAATAAAATTTCCTGGTATACCAATCTTATAATAAGACCTCGGTGATTTGCTATTCCAATTATTTACATTTTTACAGGTCAAATCATGATACCAACCGAATATTGGTCCATAATCTGAGTGACAACCTATAGAGGCATTAGGATCTTTATTACGTCTGCCTATTTCTGCAGTTTGAGGGTCTTTCCTATTTGCAAAAGAGAATATAAAGCTATCTGCTGCCTCTTTAAATGTATTAGTCGAATCCCACACAAGTGGATTATATCCTCCAACTGCTTGTTCCGAATCCTTAATTTTTACTATGACTACAGTCATTTCTTTGTTATCGCATTTTTCATGAAATTTTTCAACTCCAAATCCATCCCTACTGGCACGATAAAGTAAATTAAATTTATAAGGATTTCTAACTTTGTAATGTAATTTTTCTTTTTTATCGATCCAACTTGCAAGTATGGCAAAAAGTTGAGAACCAATTATATTTGAAACATCTGAGACATGTGCCGATGCCGACAATCTGGGTGGTTGTATGTCATTAATAAATTTGATTTCTGAGCTCATATGAAATTCTAAAATATCGTAAAATAATTGTTTACTTAACAATTTTTTATAAGGTAAAACTTTATGAAAAAAATCATTCGAAGATATGTGATAAAATCTGACAAAAGGAATAAATCTATTGATGGTTTCCTTCATTGCCTTAATATTCTCTTTGTTCCATTCTTTGACATCTTTAGGAATGTTTGGATGTTGTACAAAGCACCATTTGATCAAACTATCCCATATGACGATTTCTTCCAAGTTAAGATTATCCTTCTTTAATAACAATTCCATTACAGGTGCTTTTAATTCAATAAATTTATCGTAATTAAATAGTATTTCGGGTTCTTCACAAACTATATCAAGACACGAATTCCATAAATCTGTAAATGATTCATGTCGGTGAGTTAATTCAAGAATTTCTATAGGATTTTGACGTAGAATATCATTTTGATTCTTAATTAAATATTCTTGAATGCAAGGCACCAAGGTTTGGATATTAAGTTCATCTAAGCCTATCAATAGGTTTAATATATCAAGCGCTTCTAATTTCGTTAAATCAATCTTTCCGCAATATATATATCTAATCGTTTAAAGAAAAAAAAAAAATAATTTTTTTTTTCTTTTAAAATAAAACAAAAAAAAAAAAAAAATTCATAATACTCTTTTGCAGTACCTTAAGATAATTTTGAACAAGTACGGAGAAATATTTGGTTTCTTAAAAATAAATTTTCCATTCTCTTTCACGGCCCATTCATTAGACAATGCCGCACAGAAATATTGTGACCTGATGCATAGAATATTTGAATGTGCGTATATTTCTTTAACATTTTCATTTTCACCTGCATAAATGATCACATCGTGCCCTTTGCCAGTATCAAGCAATCTTTCATAGTCTTTAGCAACATCTTGCGTGTGGTCGAAAGACATTTTTCCGGAGAGAAAAAAAAAAAACAAATGTATGTTACATGCAGGGAACAAGTGTTTCAATGATTTGTGTAACAAAGCAAGCGTTACCTAAAAGGATTTCTATGTTAATCCAAAAATAGTTGTTTAGAACATTAAAACCCCTCATTTTCACCCTTTTCGCTCTTGCTTCTTTTTCTATAACCATTTTCTATGAAATAAACATCTACATTTTATTGTACTTTCTTTCTTCTTTAGTCCTATTGACTACTCTACTCTCTTTGTAAATATTTTCTCAAAAAAAAAAAAAAAATGCATCAAAATCACGTGAACGTCAAGACAATTAATTAATTTAATGGATATATGCTTGAAGTGTCTTCTAGTGTAAATCAATTGCATAAGAAGAAAACTTCATTAAAATACGATTGATAATGATGACGCGGGGAAACTTTAAATGAAAATTTACTATACGATGGCAAACCGATAACTAATTTGGTCATATCTGATATTGAAGTAGATTTTTGTTGGATGGCTGTCTATGATAATAATGATAAATCAGAAGATCAGAATTTTCGGAACAAGAGATTCAAGACTTTAATTGTTTGATAAAATGGTGTGATTATACTATTTTAGGTGAGATTTAATTTTTATCGCTAAACAAATTATGAATTTAATCATTCTTATAATGTTTAGCAATAAAGAATCCGAATTCAATGATCTCATAATTTAGTAAAAAGTAAATAATGTAAACGATATAAATTTTGGCGCATTAAATTTAACTTCAACAACTTTCGTTTTTTTTATGTATGTTGTTATATACGTTATTTATGACAAATTAAATAAAACACTGTATGAATAGTTTATAGAATTTTTCGAATCCATGGTGCCTGGGTGTTTCATCTCGGAAGACTATAATCCGGAGGGGTATTATGGATAATAATGATATGTTATTGTCCGGAGCGAAGCGTAGGACAATATACTTTTAGGAATTAGAGTGAAAAATTGCACTGTCACGTGAGAATTCCGTCTGTCCTGCCGCGTTACGTAAGATCAGATCAAAACAATCAACAAAAAACCAAGTAGGGTAACTTGTGTAGCTTGTGGCGCCTGAACAAGATCAGTACGAGAGAAAAAAAAAACAATACATTTATACATTTTTTTTTTACTCGTTACATTTTGTTGAATTTTATTTTTTTACCGTTATCTGTTAAATTTTATATTGAACCTTTGTGATATTTTTAATGTAATATTTTATTGCTTAAAAAAATAAAAACGCAGTTTTGGAAATTTGGGAAACTTTGGAAATTATGAAGTTTTATTGTTGAAACAAGTTATTATGTGCTTCTTACAACTTATGTCAATTTCTAGGTATCATTAAAACTAGTCGCTCTTCTTTGATTTTCCTTTCTTGCAACCTTCTACAGTCTTTAATGCGCTGGAGTCTTTTGAAATTGAAAGGTTGAAAGAGAATATCTCCCATGGTGCGAACCTGAGACATCGCCACAAATGAAAGGCCAGCCGCAAACTCCTTATCACCAAGATTTATTACAGTTTTTTGTAGTGTAAGTCCCTGGCTTTTATGTACAGTAATGGCCCATGCAAGACGAATAGGAACTTGTAAGCGTGAACATAATGTTCCAGATTTGCTCTCCCAGGCACATCGAATGAGTGCAATTGGGACAACTTTTGTACCTTCTAAAGTAGCAATAGTAAGGCCTTTATAATTTTCAAATGAAATGAGAACTGCTATAGGAAGAAAAGGTGGTCCTTGATCCTCTCTGAACAAAATATCCTAGACTATTCCCAGTGCACCATTGACCAAGCCAGCTTCTGTCCACAAATTTGATATCAACATAATACGTGTACCTCTTACTAGTAGCAATTGTGCTTCAAGACCATATGTAATGTCAGAATCTGCTTTTTTGGCTTCATTGCCGCCTGTGTGTATGGCAAGAATCCTGGCAACAGGAACGTTTAAAGACCTGAGTCAGTCTATATTCATTGCATCAACGTCGACCCATTTCGTTAGGATGAATGTGACATCAGAAATTTACTACATTCTGTTTTATTTAATCTCCCTTCGAATCGTGTGATAAGAGTCCTCCAGTCAGCTAAAGTAGACTCTCCATCGCGCAATCTTAAGAGGAGAAATCTAAAGTCCTGTTGCTCTTGAGAATTTCCAGATTGGTGTTGAATAACATCAAGCTTATACACCCCCTTAAATAGGATGTATGCGGTAAGACCATTGTTAGAAAGTGGATCTCGTTAAACTTTTGTGTACATCGGGAGATCAAGTACAGGCGGGAGCTGGCTGAAATCTCCAAACATAATAACTGACCTCCCACTAAAGGGTTCATTATTATTTTTGGGAAAAACCTGCCGAAGCCGCATATCAATAAGACCAAGCATTCGGCGGCCAACCATACTTTTCTCATCTATTATAATATATCTTACACTTTCCAATCTATTCTGTAGCAACTTCAGCCGTTCCCCTTTTATGTCAAGATTACTATCGCTAATTATTGGGATGGAAAGCGTCGAATGAATCGTCATCCCACTTATGTTGAAGTCTGCAACGCCTGTTGGCACAACCACTAGTTAATATTATACTTTTATTAAAGTTTTTACAATTTTATTAAATGTCACAATTTTTATATTTTATTACAATTATAAAAAAATTAATACTTAAATAAGAATTAGTATAACTATTTATTAAATTTGCTCATATCGGAAAAATTACAATTTTTATTTAATAAACTTTAACAAATAGTAAGGAGTTTGCTAATTTTGCTCCGGACTCACAACGGTTTCCGTTGCCTAGTAAATATGAATAGATAAAATAACAAGATAATGCGAATTTACATTCTAAACCGTGTTCTTATACTCAGGTACTATAGAGCGTAATATTTATTTACAGGTGATAAAGGCATTTGTTATTTAACTTTTAAGAACCATTTAATTTTCATGAACGGGATTTGCATATACTGTTTGTTAAATTGTAATTTATATTTCCAGTTATTATCATGCTAGTTTAAGAATAATTTTCAAGCTGTAAGAAATCAATTGATGGAGAAAACATTGGACATGAATTCAAATATGCTTCCTGAAATAAAAAAATTTTTTTGTATTTGATTAATACAAAAAAATAAATATTATTTATTTCACGACAGAGTAAAATATACTTTTATCTTAATTTTTAATTCGAATTCGACTTGTTTGCATAATTTTAAACTCTTGAAATAAATTCTTCTCCAATCATTCTAATTTTGTCCATTACGTGTGTAATAAAATTATGTTATTGTAATCGAATTTGGACCCCAAAATTAACATCTTAATAACCCTATTAGCATACTCTTTTTTTTTAAACGTAAACCGTAAAAATTTCATAAGATTGTATTTCAAATCTTTTTGGAATGCCGATTGAAGGATACGATTCGGGGTTACTCGTCCATACACCACTATTTTGCACAATAGACGTATTCTTTTTGTTCGTCGTAACTAACTCTCGCAGTCTTTGAGTCATCTTTGTTCGTGTAATAAAATACAAACCTATTTTGTGTATCTGTATGGGTTACATTCTTTAAAACTCGTCGGATTAAACCCACCGACCAATTGCTCTGAATCCTTATGTTGGGCTACGATCAATATAGAATCGTATTCAAGATATGACAAACTACTTTCCATAGATTTCTTGCTCGTAAAAGGAGTTTGAATTTATAAGGGATAGAAAAATTCTTATAAAAAAAATCCTTCTTCCTATCCATCCAATTCGCAAAGGTAGTTAAATGATGAAGCTCAAGTATATTAGAATTGATGAATTCGTGATATCTGGATATTTTAAAAGTTGTGAGAGAGGGTGGAAAATAATCCCCTTTGATCAAATGTAATTCCAATAATTCTTGAACTTTTACTTTTGGTAACAATTTTCTGTAAGGTAAGACCATGTAAAAGAAATTTTCGGGATCGATCAATTCAAATCCAATTAAAGGAATAATTTTTTGTAATGTCGTCTTTAATGAAACGAAATTCCCACCAACCCATTTTGTCACATCTTTTTAAAAGATGGATGACGTGCGATCCCCCAATCCAACACCAGTTTCCAGATTTCTATTTCATCAATATTATAAAAATCACCTTGAAGTATTACGTCAAGCAACGATTCGTCCAATGAAACGAATTTCTCGGACATGAACACAATTCTCGGTTTTTCACAAATTACTTCAAAAAATTCATCCCATAAATCCGTTAATAAATTATTTCGATGAATTAATTTGAGAATTTCCGCGGGATGATCCTCCACAAATTTGATCTTATGCTCGATCATGTAATTTCGAAGATGTGGAATTAATTGTTTAAACTTGAATCCATCCAGTGCAATAATGAGTTTTAAAATTTCAAACCCCTGTAATTGAGTTACGTCTAAATTTCCATAATAAATGAATCTATACATTCATGAATGAACATCATTAGTTAATATAATGAATATCTTGGGAACATATAAAAGAATAAAATTACCTAAGGATAATCTGAAAAATATTATGCTCAATGTTCGGTTCTTTTAAAATAAACATTCCATTATCGTCTTTCTCGGAAAATGCTGTACAAAAGTATTCTGATCGAATTTGTAAAATAGATGAGTGAACTTGAAATTCGCTACAATCTTTTCCGGTGTATATGATGGTATCATATCCTTCTCCAGTTTCAAGCAAATTTTTATAGTATTCTAAGCTCATGTTAAAAAATTTTTCGAGGATCGATTTTTCCCAAACAATACTAATTTTATTTACAAAAATTTGCGCCTAACCTTATCCAGAGTGATACCGGTTGTTGGCGCTTACAATTTTGAGTTATTTAAAAGAAATTTTTTTTGCTTTTTTTCATTTTAAAAAAAAAAATGACGTTTAACTTGCAGCCAATGATTATGAAAAATTATTTGAATCAAAAGAAGGATATGATGTTATCATTTATGCCGGTGAAAATGAAAATTTTGGAATAATTTATGCGCACTCTTTATTTTATATACTCAATCGCAATATTTTCGTAATGCATTGTCAACGGAAAAGCAAGATGGAAAATTTATCATAAAAAATCGAAATATTGATTCCAAAATATTTGGTTTTACTGTCAGGTGAATATGTGTTTACGATTTGATAGGCAAAAAAACTATTATCTATTCTAACAATTATTGATTTTTTTAGGTTTATCTATTGCGGTAACGTTGATTTGAATCAATTACAAGTTTTCGAATTATTGAAACTCTTCATGGCTGCAAACGAGCTTAGCATCCAACACCTAGCCTCAAATGTTCAAGAGTACATTAATCAACATAAAGTAAAATTCATAAAATCTCATCCCGTGGAGATCCTCGAAATAACTTACGAACGTGAATTATTTACAGATTTATGGAATTTTTCTTTCGTTGAAATTTGTGAGAATCCTGAAATATTAATCAATTCTGATAAATTTACCAATCTAAAGGTTCCTATAATGGAATTACTTTTGAAACGGGATGATCTGAATTTATATGAGAGCGTTATATGGGACAGTGTGATAAGGTGGGGTTTGGCTCAGAGTCCTTTAATTAAACATAATGATGTAACCAAGTGGACCAGGCAGGATTTTGATATTATGAGGGAAACAATTCGAAAGTTGATTCCGTTAATAAGATTTTATCATATTTCTTCAGAAAACTTTTATCATAAAGTTTTGCCTTACAAAAAATTGTTACCAAAAAAATTGGTTTACGAGATTTTAGAATCTCACATAGTTCCAAACAAGAAATTAAATATTGATGATATACAACCGCCGAGAAAATCAAAAGGAACGTTTACTTTAGATGATCATGGAGCCATCTCTGAGAAATTGATCAGCACTGTTCTTGATAAATTAGATAAATTAGAACAAAATGAAAATTTTTTAATATCCAAAAGGTCATTTATCATGAGGTGTCTTGTATTAATTCCGATTGAATCCGATGTTCGATTAGATCTTTATAAAAAAAGATTATTCTCAAGAGAACCTTTTCCATTAATGGGAGCGATCATTAGAAAGATTTTTCTTGTAGAGGATGACGAAAACAATAATATATACTTCACGTTGATTAAAAATGCCGAAGTAGCTCTGGGAAAATCTGCTCGATTAAATCTCATCAATGAATATTTTGAAGAAACATGTCAACATTATGTTGTGATGTTATTGAGGAAACTTTCTTTATGAATTGTGAAATTAGAGGATTTGTCTCCCTACTTTGGACACGCCATTGAGTCTTTATATGGACAGGGAGCGCCAGCGTTGCAAAGAATAGCTGCTATCGCTTTACTCAAGGAATTCGTTCGTCAATTCTGGGATAGCTTTCTTCAAGAAGATAAGAATAGTCTCATCGCGTATAACAAAGCAGAAGGTGACGAATTTGATAGTGTTGGATTAATTAATCAAATTAATCATTGTATGAATTACGCTCATCCTTTAATTAATTCTCTCAAAATTTACTTTTTAAGAGATTTACGTCAGAGAGATTTTTCAATGGATGATGTTAAAAGGTTTTGCGAAGTTCAGAAAAGTACTCTACCTTGGCTTGGAACGTTGAATTGGGACGGTGTTAAAGAAAATCGTTTATTTGTCAATCCATATTCTATTTTGCCCGAATATGATGATCTAGAAAGCTTCTTTACGACTTTGTATAATATAAACCACCAAACACCTTTCAAAACATACATGCAAAAAATAAAACAAAAGGATACCTTATCAGCAAGGTTATCTTTAATGGGACTTATCTTTATACGTCTTCATGCTATAAGGGCTTCAAGAGCGTGGCAACATCCGGAAATACAATCAGCTGATTTTTTGACCAAAGAGCTCGCAGAAATGAATAATCTTCCCGATTTATTTAAAACAACGTCAACAAGGATCTTGTCGAATAAATTTCCTTTACTTCAGATTAATAATTCCAATATTAGTAATTCAGATTTGCTTTTAAAATCTGTTATTGCACACATAATCGCATTTAACGCTTCAGTTGAATCGAATTCATCTCAATTGGCAATGTATTTGCACGGATTACAAGATTGTCAGAATTTGTTTATTTTAGCAGGCACTCCTGATATAGAATCGATAGTGTTGAATGCAGTTGCTGTTAAAGAAATTATCACTAGATATGCTTGTCAATGCGGTTTTGTATATGTAATCGGAAATAGCGGTGGTGCTTTAACTATAAGTCAATGTCTAAATTGCAAAAATACGATTGGTGGAATGTCATACAGACCTGCACCAGGAAATACTCGAATAGATAATCAACCTAGAAGTTATTTTGTAGCAAATGATCAACCAGGAAATAATCAATCGGGATATATTGGAGAACTTGTTAACCAAATTTCGACTCATAGCGTCAGATCTTTGCCGGCTGCTTCATATCGTATTTTACATTTGATTGTTCATTCTCTTATTGGAGCATCTTCACCCCAGCCTGCACTTGCTTTCCTTCGAAAAAATAATCAAATTGCAACAGATGCCGAAAAATATTGTATGGACAATATTAGAAGTGATTGGGCAGTTCTCAAGAATATTCTTAATTGTTCAGATGAGGCATATTTTGTTTAGTTATTTATTGACTGTACTGTTCATTAATTAAAAAACAAATGTAATAACTAACGATAACTTATGATTTGTAATTTAATCAGACTCTGGCGCTAATGTTCCACTCGTTAATTTCTTTAATGACGGAAAAACCTCCATTACCGAATCAACAAATAAAAACGACTGCCGAACGTGAGAACTGGGAAATGATTTTCCATAGAGATTATGTTGAACCACATATTAGAAATATAACTGAAACAACAGCCAATTATCGTACGAAATTAGACGTAATTTCGTCTAAACATCAAAAAAACCATATCTGGATTAAGGGTGAAATCGATCAAACTTTAGTGATGGATAAACAATATCGAGTTGAATATTTATCAAGTTTATGGAGGACGATTGGGATGATAAACTTTGATAGTTTTCGTGCTTATTATATGAGTGATTTTGCAAGAAACACGAAGAATTATCCATTCCTTTCAGTATTTTTCAAATACGTTGGACAATTAGATTTACTTCGACACCTTTTACCTATTGTAACATTTGTACAACTTTTGCATTCCAAGCTTGGATTTCGCTTATCAAGACAAAAGGCAAGATATTTGACCTTCAGACAATTTATAGAACAAGAATCTGATTATGGTGAACATCGTGAAATGTTCAATAGCTTGAAGACAGCCTTTAAAGACTTTAAACTTGGTGGGATACAGTTATATATTATGTTAGACAATATCAATGTCATGAACTTCCAAAAGACAAACCAATCATGAATAGTGAACTTCCAGTTATTTTAGGTTTAATGGAACCGAAGAATACGGGAATTTTCTTATGCGCAATTTTAGACTATTTAGTAAATTTACAAAATAATTTCTTGCAAGAAGTCGTGGAAATTCCACTCGGAACTTGTAGATCTCTCAAGTTTTTAGATGAACCAACTTCCGCGTCGACTTCAGCTCAACCAAACACCCCTAACGGATATTACCTATAATCTATGCGTATGGATCATGTTAGGTCCGGAAATATTGTAAACTTTGAATGGGATGAAGAAATTCTTAAATATTGCCAAAGAAATCTGGAAATCGCAAAAGGACACGATATTGTTTACGATTTAACAAAAATTGAGATAGAATTGGCAAATATTCTGGTTTTTGAAAAAGGTCATATTGAAACACAACCAGAATCTCAATTATATTTAGAACCTTTCCCATATCACATGGAATTGTTCCATGGATGTGTGAGAATACTCAATGATATTAAGGATTTAATACCTCATGAACAAATCCCAATTGAGAAGATGCACTTATTAGTTGGTTCTCAAACGACGTTAGATATTTCAGAAATTTTATCATCATTGGAATGTCTTTTATGTTCTGTCAAACGTACAGCAATTAGGGATGGAGAACTATCGATTAAAGATTATGTTTTAAAATCATTAATCGAGCATGTAGGATTCTCAAAATTTTCAAATATCGATTTACGACCTAAACACTTGGTTGCTTTATATGAACTTTTTGAAGAACAGGTTGCCAATCTTCAAATTGAAAATATCCATAAAAAATATAAAGCTCCACTTACAGAAGATATGAAGACCAAAATACTTGAATCTGTAAATTTTAAACAAACCACCCTAAATGAATTTTTACCAGCAGAAGCATTTACTTTGGCTTTAAAACGATTCATGTTTCGATTTTTAACCAAGGAAGATCAAAAAGAAATGGAACCATTATATATTTATTTACTAGATATTTCATTGAATTTCTGGCCGTCAACAATTTCAGAGAATCGTATAGATGAATTATTCCCAGAGAATTTGATGGTGGCCAACATATTTGCTGCTTACGAATTTACAATGCAAAAAATGGAGGTAAGAATATTTATTATACATTTATTTAAAAATGAATTAACAATTTTAATTATTATTAATAATTTTAGCAAAGAAACTAACCATTATTAATCCACGAATGGCATTAAATACTATTCCAAGGAAACAAAGATCAAACTACGAATCTTATTAGTTATTTGACTGTAATAACCAGTAGCTTTTTTTATTTGATATTGATATGAATAAAATTATTTTCTAATTTATTGTACACCTGCCACATGCTATTATAATGATTTCTTTGAACTACGTATTATAAATCGCGACAGAACAAATTTTACAGAAGCTTCTTCTGTTCTTGCGTACTTTTCCATAATCTATGACCGACAAGTTCAGCTTTGCGATGCACGCCGCTTTTTACAAGCGTAAATTTATCTTCCAAGCCAAGTAATTCTGGTATGTCAAATGGATTTACCGTTTATAATAGACTTAGGGTTCATGAAATAGGCTTATAATCTAATAAATTCGTCGTGATTTTAGAATAATCCTTAAAACTTGAAAGAGTCACGTAAATGACAGTCTAGGATAAATTGCATACAATCGATAAGCCTCATCGAATTTTAAGTTTAAGAACAATTAAAATAGCCATTAAAGAATACTTATTTAATTTAGCACATCATATCCAACCGACTAAGGCACATTTAAGCAGCACCTGCTTTGTTACAACTTATGTTAGATTCGTTATGGGTGTTGATTTCCATGTCAGAACCATAATCACTTGGCCAAAGATTTCAATCGATATGTTGAAATCCTATCCCTGAAAATGTAATATCATTGTAAGCGTGAACGCGTTCTTTAACAAAAGGTGCATAAATACTTCTCAGACAAGTATCCTTGAATATATTAGGGTCCAGAGTTTCACCCATTTGGATGACCTGGAAAAGTTAAATACTTTGTAGACATGTCTTATAGACATTCGTTTTGATATACAGTCAGAACTCGATATAACGATTCGCGATGAACCGATTTTGACCTAAACGAACTTTTCTCTTAAATCAAAACCACTTATAATAAAATTTATCACTATATACCGATTTTATTATAAATTTCGGGATATTGCATATACCGAACACTGGTTGTAAACCAGTTATAATTTATTTATTCGCGATAAGTCGATAACGATTTTTTCTTGATATATCGATATAAAAAAATGATTTTTTTCTTGATTTAATCGAACGAACGACCATCGTTATAAAATTTAACTTTTTTTTTTTAATATATCGAATTTATACTAATATAGTAAAATATCAAATGTTAAATAAATTAATATGAATATAAATCGGAAGATTTTGTTTCTTTTATTAATCATCTTTTTTTACCAACCATCTAGTAATGCATTATCTATGGGACAAAGCAAGAACTTTGTCTCAAAAAATATACAATCTGAATCTTCAATCAAATTAAATATAAATGAGTTTATTAGTTTCGATTAGATTTTTTTTTTGTTCTCAAAAATTTACAAATAATTACAATAAAGAAATAATATAACATACAATAAGCAAATAATAAATAATAAACAAATAATTACATTGCATTGATTGTAAAATAACAGTAAAATTCGATATATAATGGACTTTTATTTTTTTCTTTTACTATTTAAATCGATATATCAAAACGAATCAAAGTCACTAAAACCAACAGGTTCGTTATATCGAGTTTTGACTGTATTTTATTTAATCTTTATGGGAAAAGATATTTTTAGCCCGATGAAAAAATGAAGTATTGGCAATTTCACGTGATGTAACTATCAAGTAATTATTCTATTGGTCGTAGATCTAATACATACAATACAATAATTACAAAAACAATATTATATTAACAATTCCCGGGATTGGTACATGCTAAAGACAATTTTTCTGCAGTAATGAAAATTCTTTATCGTTCAAAGTTCATTTCTGTGCGCCGACAGGTTCACAGATTTTCCTTCATTTTTGAACTTTAAGCAAAAATCAATTTAGGAAAATTTTATATTTTATTCCCAATGCATTTTTTTCATGCATATTTAATTATTTGATGCAAGAAAGAAATTTCCTTATTCTGACTAAAATGTTTATTTCCTAAATTGGCAAAAACATAAACAATATCGGTTTAGTTATCAATCAAATTCTTCAGGATCATTATATTCCTAAAATTATTTCACTATATAAAAAGTGCTCATTCGACATTTTCACCTACAATTATCAGTCAGTAATAAAATAAGAACAAAAACAAATCATCAGGAACAATGATCAACGATAAGTTTATTGATTATGTAATAAATTGAATTGGATTTTATGTCACTTGTACATTTTATTTATTTGGTCCGTTCCCTTCTGCTTCTTATGTATCATGTGATCGTAATTTATGCAATGTTTTACTGTACAAGTCTTATTGATTTTATGATCCCCAAGATTTGGGAAAAAGGGCGTTGCTCTATTTTTTTTTCGTTAAATGATTAGAAGTAAATCTGAAAATAATGAACATGAAACACGGAGGATTCGAATATGAATTCAGTTTTTTGCGAAAAAGGTGCATGAGGAAACAAACAACATGGAGAACTGTCAAAATCCTTTCTTTTCATATGGTATTGTTACTGATTTATTATATACATGTAATCATTATATTCATTTATCTTATTTAACAATCATAAGAGAATTACATAAAATTTGTATTTAATCAAACTTTAATATTATCATTCATGTGATTTCGAATAATACTTGTGACGATCATAATATAAATTGTTAGAAATCAACAAATCTGCAGTTACCCCAAAATAGTTCAATTATCATCTCTGCGTACCTGATAGGATGTGCACGGTTGAGAATTTTTTTTCGCAAATTTTTTTTTACATATATTTTTTTTCGAGAATTTATCCATACTAACTTTAATCACTTGCACGTTTTCCAATTTTTACAGTTAAAAAATCACACGTTCACTTAAAAGGTGGTAATACGCCATACATCAAAATGCAATAAACATCGTTCTTCAAATAGATTAACTCAGCCATTTTTATCGTGATTTTTTAACAACTTTGTCCCCAAAAAATGTTTTTTACTATTGTTTTTATTTTGGTAGCTCGATTCTCCTTTTGTACTACTTACCATTTATTGATTGGTACCTCTATATATATCATATAAAATAGTTATCTCATTTTTAATTTTTTAATTTTTTAATTATTTTCCCAATTACAAGTTTTAATTAAATCATTTTTCGATTGAAGAATTCATAACAAAAAATAATCTATTAATTATTGTGGTAAGTTCATCTTTTTATTGATTGTTTTCTTTTTTTTTTTTTTTTTTCCAAAACCGGATCGGATTGGTTCCCTTTTTGAACCAAAAATATCCATATAGCATGTATTCTTTGCATAGATTTGATATTATTGATCATACCTTTTTATTGTTTCAAAATTTATTTATATAACCCTTTAAAATCTTTTTTTTTTGATTTGAAATTTTCTTAACTGATTCAATTCTTCACCGTTTTCTCTTTATCCAAATAACCAGCCATAAAAAAAAAAAAAAAATACACAAACAGCATGCAATCACAGAGATCATCGACCACTTCTCGTACGACATCACCTCGTACAACATCCATATCACGAAAACATTCCACCACCACCAAACAATCATCGACCACGAAAAAGTATTCGCGTAAATTTATCGATGAATTTGAATTAAATTATGTAAATGAGGATCATATAGAGGCATTCGCAAAGGCGTTATCGGAGGATCCCGAACAAGACTCAACAGAGCATATTGCCGCCGTAACGGATTTCATGCCGATTAGACAAAAAATTAAAAAGAAGAAACCTAAAGTACCAAACGGATTCGATGGTATCTCTTATCACATCGTTAGATTTCCTTTAATGGTAAGTTATGTCTGAAAGAAATGTTCTTGTTCTTAACTAGTTCTTTAACTGGTTCTTAACTTTCAAGATTTGTTTTTTTTTTTTTTTTTGTAGTTGTTTATTTTCCTTATCATCTCTTTTGAATTATTGTGTTACATATTGGTAAGACAAATCGTAAACCTATGGGAATACTTTGTTCAATGGTAAGGTGTTATTGATAATTGTCGTCTTCATTTTTCTTTTTTAAAAAATGGAAACTTATCCTTGAAATCATGTAGGAGGGGAGAGAGGTATCGACTAAGAGAGAAATTACGGAATTCCTCCACGTATAAAGAATGGAAAGAAGCAGCACAACAACTTGATTCATATTTTCATTATGATGAATGGAAGGATGAGGTTCCATTCGGTTATTATGATTTCAATATATTACAAAAAGTCAACAGAGACTTAAAAAAATTAAGAGAGGAATCGTCATCGTCAAAAAATGATTCTCAAACAACATTAAAAAGCGTTTTACAGAATTGTGTAAAGAATAATTATGCTGGTGTTGAAAACGTAAGTTTATACTCTCAAACTTATTTTGGAACAAAAAAGATTGTTGAAAATTATGTTGAAGAAGGTAAATTACCTTGTCACGATTTCTTATTGATTTAAAAAAAAAATTTCAATGATAACAACATTCACTCGAAATAATTTTTTACAGTGACGGAATCTCTTGATTATTTACGAACGACAAAATCGTTACCGTTGGAAGAGAAACGCAGATTATTTAAAAACGCGCAAAAAAATTATGGAAGAACGGCATTGTGTTTAAGCGGGGGAGCATGTTTTGGGTATTATCATTTAGGGGTAGTGAAGGCATTATTTGAAGCGAATTTATTACCAACGGTTATAACAGGAACAAGCGCGGGAGGTTTAATAGCCGCTCTTATATGTGTACGTACTGATGATGAATTGGCTCAAGTGCTTAAACCAGACTTGAGTAGACAACTTACCGCGTGTTCCGAGCCATTATTCGTTTGGTTAAAACGTTTATATACAATTGGTGCAAGATTTGATGCGGTAGATTGGGCACGGAAAACTCAATGGATCACAAAAGGAAGTTTAACTTTTAAAGAAGCTTACGATAGAACTGGTAGAATACTTAATATCTCCGTTATACCTTATGATCCACATTCACCTCCTAAACTATTAAATTACATCACCGCTCCCGACTGTGTCATTTGGTCCGCAGGTAAAATTTTGCAGAATTATCATTCATGATCTTCTGATAGTTTCCCCCCTCCCTTTCGGAATTTAACTCTTTTTTTTTTTTAATGTAGTCATTGCCAGTGCGGCGGTTCCAGGAATCTTGAATCCCGTGGTATTGATGCAGAAATTAAAGGATGGAACCATTGTACCATATAATTATGGACATAAATGGAAAGATGGATCACTTCGTACAGATATACCGGTTCAATCATTACACATGCACTTTAACGTCAAAAATACAATAGTATCACAGGTTAATCCTCACGTTCATTTGTTTTTTTACGCACCGAGAGGTTCCGTTGGTAGACCGGTTAGTCATAGATATGGTAGAGGATGGAGAGGTGGATTTTTATTATCAAGCATTGAACAATACCTTAAATTAGATTTAAGCAAATGGTTAAAATGGGTGAGAGATTTAGAATTGTTACCAAAGGTCGCCGATCAAGATTGGAGTTCGATTTGGTTACAGAGATTTGATGGTAATATAACCATATGGCCAAAATCAAGGATATCCGATTTCTTTTATATCCTTACCGACCCTGATTATGAAAGGTTGGATGTGATGATCACAACTGGTCAACGAGTTACTTGGCCCAAACTTCAGATGATTTCAAATAGAATAAAAATTGAGAGGGCGATAAAAAGGGGGCGAGAACATGTTAAAAGAGAAGAGAGAAAGAAGTATAGATATCATAGAAGTGAAGAAATAAATGATGGTCACATTGGACATAGTAGGACCATGTCTTCTCCTTCAATAGTTCAATCCCTCAGTAATATCAATTTCAACATAATTAATTCGAGTAGCGGAAGCGATAGTGACGATTACGATCATTTCAGTCATTTCAGTAGTGGTCAAGATGAATCGGATGAAATCTCAATGTCCAACGTTGGAAATGGCAGTGATAGTGTCTCTGCTGATAGTGATAGTAGTAATGGTGAAAATTTTAGTAGAATAAATGATGTCATCATTGATGATGATGATCTTAGTTCCCTAAAGTATGATATGATCATAAGTCAATCTTCTTCATCTGATTATGATGAAGGTCTTGTCACTCCCGATGATGGTCAAGGGTTAACCTTTTATTGAACATTAGTCACAAACTTTTTATCAAAAACATTATTACACATTATTCTTTTTTTTTTATTTATTATGTATGATTCAATTGATTGAGTTGGTTAAATATATAAATAAATAAAAAATATTGAGTGTCAAACTAAATTATGCCAGGAAATGGTAATAATTGTTTGACATCAGTCACGATTTTTTGTGCTCACAAAAACTTTTAAGCATTTGATTATAGTACTAACCGAACTAGTGGTTTTTTAGATCCCAAAAATATTCTCGTGATCATCAATCGTTGGATCAAACATAGTTTTAAACAACGAGCCTTTTCAAATTTATCGATATGTATGGTTCTTCAGCAAATCGTGAAATTTTTAAAAATTTCGTCAAAAATGGTCTAAAAATTAATCCCGTTTTTTTCAATCTAGACTGACATGACAAAATTACTTTAATCAGCTCGTCTTAAAACAGGTTAAAGTGAACAATTTCACATCAATCACTCTTTTGAAACATCACTTAACATTTTGGGATGAACGAAAATTTAGGACCATGCTATATGCATGATCACGCCGCAAGTTTTGAATATTTTTATCGAAATGATACAAAATACGCGCTGGTCTCGTTATACTTTCATAAAACCGGACCAAATGTATATAAGTCAGCGTAGGGGAGGGAAGTGGTATTGAACATAAACGAAATCTAATTTTCCCTATTTCCTTTATTTCCTTTGTTAACACATTATTTTCTTCGCACGGTAGTTCGAATTTTCCAATCATATTAGTCTCGTTAAATCTCGTTTATTAAATGATCTGGGAACAAAAAAAAAATCTATTTGCCACCGATACATATAATAAAAGAAGGTTAATCTTTATCGGGTGAACATCCAATCAGCGCGTACCTTTTTAGTCAATCAAAAAAAGGGGGTTAAGATGAAAGAACCTACTTTTGTAGTCAATGAATAATGAAACTTTAAAAAGGGAAATAATCATGTTAGTTTTATATATGAAAAGATTAACATGTCAAATTTTCCTTTCACTCAGCATTCTATGTCTTTTCAGTTATGAGTTGATGAATGTGACGATGAAATGTCATTATAAACAGCGTGTAACCAATTGGGTTTTTATTTTCACAAGTTTAGAAATTGAATGATATATAAAAAAATATATATACATATGCGATGATACAATAAATAAAAGAAATAATACGATGCTAGTTCTTCAAGCTAATTTAATACCCTTAGCTTTACACATGTCAAGAGCTTTAGGTTGATGAGATAAAGCGGCCAATCTAAGATAATTACTACCACTTTCTTCATCTTTATTAACGCCAATCCCATTGTATAATATATTTCCAATGTTATACATGGCAGTATGATTACCATTATCGGCCGACATCTGAAAATATTTTATAGCTCCTTTAATATCCTTCTTAACGGATTCACCTGACCATAAACAATGTCCATATCTTAATTGAGCTTCTGCTAAACCAAAATCCGCGGCCTCTTTAAAATATTCTATAGATTGTTTTAATCTTAATTGTTTTGCATCCTTGTCTTTAGGATCATCTACCGGACATATATCATAATATAAATAATAACCCTTCCAATACCTAATTATATCATTATCATTATTAATATTTTGAAAATTAAATGACTTTTCTTTGAAGGTTTAACAATCACTTACTTTGCAAGCGTATCGCCAAATTCGGCATGTTGACAAAAAGCCTTCCATGCTTTCAATCTATTACCATTCTTTTTCCTATGTTCCATCGTGGCTTCTTTAACGCTCATTGTAACAACTTCAAATTCGCTTAAATCCAAAGATAATTCTAAATCGTCAGGATCCGGTAAATCTAATTGTGAGGGAAAACAGATCGGTGAAGCAGTCGGTGTTTTTCTCGGTTTGTAAATTTGATAAATGCTATTTAATGTCATAAAGATATCTTTTAAAGGAGGTCTTGCACTTGGACTATCTTGCATGGCTGATGATTCAAATGAAAAGAACATTAGATTGCTGTCAATAATAATCATGATAAGAACACATCATGCTTTGTTTTACCTCTATTGGCAACTTTTGACCATTCGATAGGTACACCGAGACTAAATGATGGCCTAAATCTCTGATCAACGACAAGCTTTCTTATTTTAACAATATCATTTTCCATTTGAAAAGGTAACTTTTCTTCGGCAATCTCCCACAATATCATACCAAAACTATAAATTTCACATTTCGAGGTGTAAGGATTGTTATGATCCCTTAATTTTTCAGGGGCCATCCATCTCACATTATCAATCGTTGCCTTAATATGAGTACTAAAATCTCTAAACCCGCGACTTAAGGTAAAATTTGCCAATTTGGCGCAACGATGTTTGGTGATTAAAATGTTTTCGGATCGTATATCATGATGCAATATAGACACCGTGTGCAAAAAGGTTAACCCACGAGAAATATCAACGGCGATCTGTGATTTTTCATGCCAGTCAAGTGGTCCATAATGTGTATAATATTCTTTTAGGTTACCATACTCACACCATTCTGTTACCATATACATTAATTCTTCTTCATTGATAAATCCGTAAAATTTCACTATATATCGTGATTCCTTAAGTTTTTTCAATATAATCACTTGACTCAAGATATCATTAATATGCTCCTTTTCTTCTTTATCGAAAAACCTTTTCTTTAATGCCACTTCTTCTCCTTTGCATAATTTTTTAATCACCTTACTACCACGTTTAACTTTTTCAAGTGGATCATAAAATTCACTTATCGGTATCGTTGCATCCGCTATGACGTCATCATTTCGCGAAAGTAACTTTTTTTGCCATGCTATGTTCCATTGTGTGATATCATCCAATTTAGCATTAATTCCCGAGATTTCACTTGCGATTCCCCCTTCAATATCTTGTATATACTGAAAGAGAAGGAAAAAAAAAAAAAAAATGAAATGAAAACCGACAAAAAAATATATTTTTTAGAAAAAGTTCAAAACAACGTTTAAATATTCCTCACTTTATTCATCTCCTTAACATCATGACTTAAAATTTTTCTATCTTCCTCCAGTTGTATCTGATTAGAAATGGCGATTGAAAAGTTTAAGATTCTCATTAATCCGTCAAATTCATTAGTTAAATCGAGAAATTCTTTTTCAATATTATAAGCCGCCAAAAATTTCCTTAAACCTTTTATTTGTGAAATTTCTTCAATGAATTTCTTAATTTTATTGATGATTATGACCAACTTTTGAAAATTTTTATAATACTCTTTTGATTTGAATAATGATTCATTTTCAAACCTACGAATCTCCAAATTCTTTATTGCAGTTTCCGCCGCCGTTGCCCTTGATAATAACGATCCACATATCCTTTTATTATGTTCGGCCGTTTGATAAATATCAATTATATCTGATACCATACGTGAGACTTCTGATATTAACGGTGTAAACGGTAGGATTGAATCTGATACTTTGGATGCACCTATGACACTCATCGTTGCCCCTGTCAATTCTGTTACGTTTCTTATTGTTATATTACCATTTTCAAGATTAAACTTTTTTGGTACACTTTCTTGCATCATATACAATATGTATTACGGGGAAATTTTTGATTTTGATGGAATTTTTTGGAAAAAAAAAAAAATTGATCGGGTAAAAAATTGTGCTGCTATTTTATACGTAACTTGCAAATCAAGTCAAAATTGTGCTGCTATTTTATACGTAACTTGCAAATCAGGTCAAAATTGTGCTGCTTTTTTCTAGAAATTCATAACTTCCAGAAAGAAATAAAATAAGAAAATTCTATGGATTTGTGTCATGTGAACGCTTATCAACTTTATTGACTTAAATTGTGATTTCCGTATGTAGATCGAGACCATTTTTAACTAATCATGTAAATATTGTGACAGAAAAAATATAAACATTAATACTTTTTAAATAAAGTAAATAATTCACCCAATTTGCTTTTTATAGTCATCCACGTTCGAATTCGTCGGAGTTATTCTTTCAAAATAATTTAAAACATTCTTGTTTATCCTTCTTTTTTAATTGAAATAAATATTTCTTTTAAAGCAGAAATGTAAATTTGTTTTCGCAGAATTTTTTGTTGGAAAATATATATTCACGCCCTTTCAACTGTTATCTTGTCATCTCCGATTGGAGTAACTTCATTTAATGATAGGTCTTTTTTCAGGGGAGCAACCCACAAATTGGTATATAATCACGTCAGGTGATAAATTTATTTCCGACGAATAATTAGTATGGATAAAATACCTTTTTTTTGATTTTAGAATAAATTTGATGGATTGTATTGTACTAGTAACCTGACTCATCACGTTCTCAAAGTTTTTGTAAATTACAGTTAATATTTGGTTAAACATTCAATTATTTTTTGAGTTTTGATTCTTTATTTAATATTTATACTTTTTTTTTATTTTTTTTTTGTTCTCGAGAAATTTCCTTACACATCCTCCACATCTGTCCGGCTAAACACAGGAATCGTACCCGTAAAGGATTTGTTTTGTGATTAACATCCCAGCGTACGACAGAACTCGAGATTACCCTTGAATAATACTAATCGGATAATATTGTTTTTGTAGTCATCAGCTGACGCTCCCAGACTTTTTGAAAATTAAATTCTTTAGATATCACATCACTTTGACACCTTTTCTCAAAATTCCAAACTATGTCTTACATATGTACTGTATATATACTAACATCTCGGAGAAATTTCCTGAAATGTTGAAATGAAATGCAAGTATCTATATATCTATTTACTACACCCCCCGTCTTATGAATCGATAATTGAATTTAAAAAGGTATTCCCATTATTTCCATAAATGGTATTACTATAAATGAAGACAAAGAACTGATCGTTATAAAAGATGTGACAAAGTATTAAAATAAAGTATTTAATTAATTACATGTAAATATGCGTATGAAACAAGGTACGAATTATTTACGTCAAAGGATAATGATATTTTTGTCTAGCCTGTATATCTAAAGGTTACAATATTTAAGGTTGAAGTTTCCAAGGATTGTCATCATGAATGACATTTTAAATCTTTTTGACTTCTTTACAATTTTAATTTCTAATTTTCACCTTCGTATCATGAATAGTGAATGTATTAAGGTTCCCACCAATTCTATTGGCCTTATCAAAGGCAAAAAAGGAGTCAACCTCAAAGACATAGAAAGGCGTTCCAGCGCTAAATGTGAGATAAAAGAGGATCACATCGTTGTGACTGGCTCGAATGATGCCCGTCGCATCGCCATAAACTTCATCAAAGATTGCGTCTATAATTCCATCATCGTTTACCGTCATCCCATTGAAGCGATTATTGCGTTACGACCGCCTTTGGTCGAACTCAAAAACATATTATTCGTGAAATATAAAGGAGTTGTGGATATGAATAATGTCAATAAGCCATTTTTTGTTTTAGATGAAGGAAAGAAGAAGAGAAAACATGAAAAGCTTGATGACCTCTCTTCGAGTTTGAATAATTTAAACATCGAGTATGTAATGATAACTTTTTCTTTCATCGCATTTCTTCAGTTGAACTTTGTTAAAGAGCCGCTTACATATTTAGGAAAATCAATCGTATCATCGCCCCGGAAAAAGATGAACCCTTGATAGATTATATTACCGAGCGGCTCGTTAAACTTGTCTCAAGTAATAAGACTCACATCTTCAAGCTCAAAGTAAATATTGGAAAGCAACTCTTTTATCCTGCAATTAAGAAGAGATTGCATCTACCACCTTCGGTCAAATTCGCCAATCTCCTTAAATACGAGATTGGTTACCAACGTGATATCAAGGTTGTATTCATGAACTATATCTCCTCTGGCATAGCAAAAGAAATCGAAAATCGTCTCGATAAATTAGGATACAAGGAAGATAATGAGAAGATCGTTCAAAGAGCTTCGATTCACTTGATTGATGTCAATGAGGAGAAACGCTATACCATTTCCACCGATATCACATCAGAAGGCTACCTAAAGATTCGTAAATATAGTGTTGACAACATGAAACATCTCTTCTTATCTTTTACTAGATCGAAATCAGATTTGGACTTTCGATTCAGAATTCTTTCCCGAGAGCCACCCATAACGAACGTGCCTCACAGACTTATCAACTTAATCAACAAAGCTACCTATGATCCCGATACTATGACCGTTCATTTGACGGATACTACCGATTATCTATTCACGGTTATCCGTGTCAAGGTCAAACGCAAGTTGTTTAACAACAAGGATGACCTTTCTAATAGTAGACTAAAAGTTACCATTTCGGAAATACAAGAGATGGGAAAGAAAGGTACCCAGGTGTCTGTGACTAGTGATTCATTGCAAGAGAACTTGGAAAAATTAGAAGAAACGTGCAATAAGGAAGTGGGACAATTTGTAAATGAAATGAATAGGATCGTGGATGGATTGCAATACAATGTCACTGATTAAAATTAGAATCTCGTCAATGTAAATTAAATAATTGACATATTTAAAACGATTTTATATTAATATTAAATTAAAAATATTTCTTTGCCTTAATAAATTTGTGAATTACAGTATATCTTGAAAGGAAAATCATTTTATAGCAACTTGTGACCTGATTTTTGTAAGGATCTTTATTTTATACAATCGGTTCAAACTACATCAAATGACAATTAGGAGGTCTTCATTGCATGAGGACGTTCCACAATTCCATTATATATTTCTTAAAATGGATGATGGGAGCGGGGTAAAAATCAAATGTCATCATTTCTGGGATCAACAAATCAGGTACGAATGTTATCAGATCAGACTTGTTGATTACCTTTAATTCGATGTCACCGTAAAAAACGTCATATACATTGATAGACCAATAAATATTCCAAAGCAAACAATTACGTTACGTACCGTTCCTTCTCATGTGTAACTACTAATCTACGGTACAATATGTACATCATGACAACAAACAATCGTTGGCGTTTATATATCGGTAGCCCTGCCGATATTTTAATGTTAGGATCTAATGATTGGATGAAGATATGCCACGTAATACTTTACCTATCAAAAGTATATATTGACAGTTTTGACAATGTACAACCAATATTCTTTTCAATTCATTGTTTACTTAAGCAGTGGAATTGTATTCGATAATTTAGGTCTAGACTGTCTGTTGTAAAAATAACAATATTTAAGGATTGTCAAATCGCTGTTTAGATAATTTATTTATTTGACTATTGTTGCGATTTTTACCATGAATAGTGATAAGATTAAAGTTCCCGCCAATTCTATTGGACTTATAATAGGCAAAGGAGGGGTCAATCTTGAGGACATTCGAAGGCGCTCCGGTGCTAGATGTAAAATAAACGGGAATGACATCGTTGTGACTGGTTCGAATGATGCCCGTCGCATCGCCAAAAACTTGATCGATGATTGTGTTCATAATTCCGCCGTCGTTTACAATCATCCTATTGAAGCGATTATTGCACTTCGACCGCCATTGGTTGGACTCAAGAGTGTATCGTTTGTAAAGTATGCAGGAAATGTGGATATGAATAATGTCAATAAGGCGCTATTTGTTTTAGATGAGGGAGAGGAGTTTGACAAAGATGATGAACTTGATGAGGTCTCTTCACACATGGAAAATCTGAACCTTGAGTATGTGATGTTATTACATGTCTTTTAGTTAAATCTTACTAATGAACTGAACCCTTCCGATTAGTGTTAGCATCATTGTCGCCCCTAAAGAAGATAAACCCTTGGTGGAGCTTATCACCGAACGACTCATTAAACACATCACCGACCCCAGTAACAAGCATCGTGACTTCAAGATCACGGTGAATATTGGCAAACAGCTTTTTTATCCCGCAAAAAAGGATAGTTTGTTGCTCCCACCTTCGGTCTCTCTTGCCCACCTCCTTAAATACAAGATTGGTTATAAACGTGACGTCAAGGTTATTTTCATGAATCATATTTCTTTTGACATAGCAAAGATAATCGAAAGACGTCTTGTTAAACTGGGGTACAAGAAAAACGATGATGAAATTGTCCAGAGAGCTTCTATCCATCTTATTGATGCCAGTGCGAAAAAACGCTTTACCATCTCCACTGACATCACGTCAGAAGGCGCCCTCAGGATTCGTAAATACAGTACTGAAAACACAAAACACCTATTCCTATCCTTTACTAGATCGAAATCCGATTTGGATTTTCGATTCAGATTCCTTTCCAAAGATCCACACATAAAAAAAATACCTTCCAATCTCATCAACATAATCAACGAAGCCACTTGTGATCTCGATGCCAGGACTATACATTTGAAGAATACTGTCGACTTCACCTTCACGACTATCCGTATCAAGACTAAGCGTAAATTTTTAAACAGCAAGGGTGAATTTTCTAATGGTAGACTTAAGGTGACGATTTCGGAGGTACAAGAGAAGGGGAAAAAAGATGTGCAAGTGTCTGTGACTAGTGATGCATTTCATGAGATTTTGGAAAAGATAAAGGATAAATCAGATGAAGCATTGGAATTAGAATGTAAGGAAGAAGCGGAGAAGTTCGTTAACGAAATGTATAGGCTTGTGGATGGATTACAATACGATTTCACCGGTGAAAATTAGAATATCATAACCCACCTCACATGATTATAATCCATCAAATTTTCCGCGGATTATTGCAATTGTTATAAATAGGCGGAATTGTATCTATTTGTAGAAATTATTGATAAACCGAATGTATCGTTCATGTTTAAGAACTATTCGTGCAAACTTTATTCATAATTCAAGTAAAATGTCTGAAGTAGGACCGATATATCAAAGTATTCAAAAAAAGGTGTTTAATATAATATTTGTCAAATAATCGTTGTTAATAAATAAATAAATTTAATAAATAAATTTTCTTTTTCTTTAAAAGTTAACTGAAGCACTTAGTCCAACATCATTAGAAATTATTAATGAATCTCATTTACATGCACATCATCAAGCAATGAAAGATGTTACTAGCAAAGAAACACATTTCTGGTATGTATTAATAAACCTTTTTCCAATTAAATGTATGACTGTATAGTTAAATTAAAAATAAATTATTTGTAGTGTTTCAGTTGTTTCGGATCAATTCGAAGGAAAGGTAATAACTTACAATAACATTTATTATTGTCATATATATTTGTTAATTAATTGAAATAACATATAATTTCTTTTGATATATAGAACTTAATGCAACGGCATAGACTTATTTATGGATTGCTTAATGAAGAACTGAAGACGGGTGTTCACGCTTTATCAATAAAAGCGAAAACACCCAAGGAAATTTCTACTTAATAAAATACTTTTAATTAATTTTTTTAAATGCCCATTTTTTTAAAAAAATTATTGAATTTATTTATATAAATTTGTGTTTTTGTAAAATGTGATTGGCTAGTTTTAATTTTTTTTTTCGTATTGATTTCCTTTGAATTAAAATGCTCCCCATCGAAGGATACCCATGTTAACGAAATTATTGATGTTAATATTACTATTATTATTCATAAACTGAATAACAAATTCATTAGTGTATTAGTCAAAAAAAAAAAATACAGTCGGCTCGCCTTATAACGAATTTGATATAACGAATTGTTTTAGTATAACGGATTCTCACTGCGGAACAGAATTTATCACGTGAAAAAAATCTCACTAAACCGAATTTACTATTTAAAATGCTGTATAATGTATAAATCGCTTTATGACGAATTAATTAGTCAATTTAACATAAAATTATCACACGTATACACGTTCTTTAATTTCAAAATGATAGTTTCGCATATTTCCTATCTTTTATCTCAGCATATTATTTAATCTTTCTTTGACTTCCTGTTTATACTAAAGAAATATCAACATATATTAAAAAAAAAAAATTTAGAAACTTTAAATATTTTGAAATGCCATAAACTAAGCCAATTAACTCAGCTAAAAAGCAACCTTTTAGTGAACCTCCTGCTCCTAAAAAACGCAAAATCACTTACTGCCATGTAAAAAAAGGAAATTTGCTTAAAGAAAACACCATTCTTAAAAAATAAAGAATTAGCAAAGGAGTATGAAATTAGCGAAGGGATGATTAGTGATATTCTAAAAGTAAAAAAATCGTGGATATCAAATCATATCAAGCTGGTGTGCAGCGTCTCTTTTCTTGTTATTGAAGAGGCTTTAGTTCTTTGGGTAGAAAATATATTGTTTAAGACTATGACGTTTTTAAAATTGTCAACCCATCCATCTGATCCTTTTTTCATTACATAAATAAGCAAATTCCAAGGCTTTAAGTGAAAGAATATCATCATTAATAACAAAACTGGCCTGAAGAGCATATACAGTCAAGGCTGGATATAACGATGCTATTATAAACGATAATGGCCTATAATGATAAAAATCTTTTGCCCAAAACAGTTATAATTAAATTGGTTTTATTATCGATTTTAATTAATAAATCTCTTTATTTTATAAATTGGTATCGCGTTATAGATATATAACATCACATGATTTATTATGCAGTGTAAAAAAATTTTTTAGTATAAAAATTATCGCAATCGCAAAATATTTTTCTCTCCAAATTTTTTTTTTAATACATGTATATTTGGCAAGAAAAAAGTAGATATCAGAGAAATCATTATTAACCTTTCAAAAGGTAACCTAACAACCCCGATGGATTTTTTTTTTTTGAAAGTTAACCTGACAACCTTTTTTTTAAATTGCATAAGCACAACTTGATAGATTTTTTATTTTAAAAAAAAAAATCCGGTTAATTTATTTTTTAAAAATTAATTTAAGAAAATCCAGTTTTAAAAAAAAATTATTTTAAACAATTTTCTTTTAAAGATTACTTTTTTTTTTTTAAAACAAATCTGATAATTTTTTTTAAAAATGAATGACAAGGTATTTAATTTTACCAATTTTGTATTTTATGTATTAACGGTTGAAAATTTTAAATATTTTATCAAATGGTTCTTTTACAAAAAAGAAATGCTTCTAATAGCAAAGAAAACATTCTTACTACACGGATAATCTGATCAGTTGGTTTCAAACATCCGATATATCGAAAAATCTCACCAAACCGGATTTATATAAAATATACGAAAAATCCGCAATATCAAGATATCACGTGATTTTTCGTTCAAAATTTTCAAAATTTTAGTTCAAAATGAAATATAATTTTATTATTATAAAATAACTATCTGTTATACATAAAAATCAAAATATTCATTTAGTTTACTTTGCCTTTTTTCATTTATATTATTAAAAAAGATCTTTTTTTTCAATTTAATTAAAATTTTTCATTTCTAAATTACCAATTTCTAAATCTTTTTGTTGAATATATTTAATTACATTTTCAATGCTATTTAACGCAACTATTGTAGAGATTTCATCTTACTCCTCTTCCTCTTCAATTTCCCTTTCATTTGTTCCCTTTACAACATCAACAATTTCTTGTAATGATAATTCCTCTTCAGCAGATACTTTATCATCAATATTAATATAGTCATTCACAGCTAAAGGATCTGTGAATCCTAACTCATCAATTAATGATTGTAATTCATGTCCAATATTATCTTCTCCATAATCAGAATTGTTTGAATATTCAGAATCTTCCATATTAATATTGGGAAGGATTCCAGCTTTAGCCCAACTATTAAGAATTGTTTTTTTAGATACTTTTTTCTAGGCATCAGCAATTAAATTGATTAAACCAAAAATATCAATTGAAAGTAGAATGGGTCTCTTTCTTCATAACATTCGTAAGCTTGAATACAATTTTGACATAGCAATTTGTGATATTGTACTTTTAAACTATAAATAATGCCTTGATCTAATGGTTAAAAATATAATGTTATATTTGATAATAAAAAATGAACCTTAACATTTGAAAGACTATTGATGTTTTCAGATTCATGACATCTAGTATTATCTATTAGTAAAATAATATACTGATTTTCTTTAAGCATTTTGGAATTTAATCTTTCAAGATAATGTTTAAAAATACTTTGCATTCAAGCTTTAGAGTTTCAATAATACCAAACAAGAAGAGATTTTTTTTCAATTCCTTTTAATACATGTGGTATTTTATATTTATGGATAAAAACTAAAGGTAATCTTTTATTACCAGAAGTATTATAAGTTGCCAAAATAATAACACGTTCTTTAAGATATTTTTTACTAGTATAGAATCATATGCTATTATTTTAGATAGTTTTAAATATTATAAAGAGCAGTTTTATTGCAGTTTTAGATATCTTTCAGTTCATATTCCTAAAGAATTTCTTGTAATTCAGCTCTTATTTATAAAAGTTTATCAATAGGAACACTGCTGGCTTCTTCTTTTTTATATATATACAAATTATTTCTCTATTTAAATTACTTAAACATTCTGCAGATGCTAAAAAGTTAGTAATATCATGTAAGTTAGTACATTCTACTGCTTTTTGTTTAGATAATAAGCCTATTAGTAGTTAAATTTCTTGATATTTATTGATCAACTCAAATGCTCATTACTTTTAAGTTGTAGATAAACACTAGATTTTTTATGAAAATTATTTGTATTTGGTAAAGTGATATTAATAAAAAGCTAATATTTTAATCTTTTTAAAATATTAGAAACTATGCTAGTGAAAATTCTATATTAAACATTACTAAATTTTTAATCTCTTTATTTTTCGCAAAGTTCTTTCTTTTGAACTAATGTTAAAGATTTCTTCTTTTTATTATTTGTTTCTCTTATGCTAAAGTAGTTTGAAAAGTTAAAGATCAGTGAAAAAATTGTTTGCTTAATTAATAATGATTAACATAATTATTTCAAACTTTGAAAAAACTAATACATCACATCAAGACTTTTTAATTAAAGTTGATCTAGAATAAAATCTGATTTATAAAATTATTGAAATTTTACTAATAAAGTCTAATATATCAAAACTGTTTTAATATAAATGATTTGGTTTCAGAAGAAAAATCTAAAATAATACCAAATCCAATTTATCAAAAATCTGATTTATTAAGATTACTTGTGAAAAATAGATTTGTATTATATTATCATTTACTTAAAAATACAAAATTTGTTTAAAATATAAACAAAAACTACTATCAACATAAAGCAACTTGCTAAATGAATAGAGTTGAATAAAATATTATCTTAGATATTTTAAAAATACATAAAAACTAATATAGAATTTAATGATCTGAAAAAAAGAATTAGTGCATCTATTTATTCTGAATTAAAAATTCTTTAGTAATTTAATTTATGCAAGCATTTTTTACAAATAAAATATTTACAGAAGATGTAATTTTACACAATTGCTCAATATAAAAAATTTTTTGCATCAAATGGTTAGCTTTCAAGATTCAAAAAATGGTAAAAAATAGCATCATATTTAATAATATATAAGATAAATAAAATACGTATTACTTTACTTAATATATGTAAAAGCAAAACTTCAAAATATATTAGTGCATATAAACTTAAAAATGTATTCAATTATAATAAAATAAATAATTAAAATATGATTATTTATATTATTTATTTAAATATATAAAATTTAATAATTTAATAATTTTATTATTTAGCTTTATTTTGATAATTAGAATTATCTAAATCTTAGCAAATAATTCTATTTCAGAAATAAAAAAATCTAAAAATCATATTACAATTATATTACAATCTTCAGTGAAAAGAATGGCAAAGACAGTTTTTGATGGTATGTATAAACTTTATTTTTAATGTTTATTTTTATTTTTTTATTTAAAAGAATAATACTAA